GCACTTTAACATTAATAATACAACCATTGGCTAGTAGCCAAGTGCTTTAGCCATTTGCACAACTCAGTGACTCTATAATGGCAGTAATAAACTTTTAAGGTCAGACCAAGCTAAATACTGTGAGGAAACAGTTGTAGTAGCAACACTGGAGTCCTGGTGTGGAGCTATAGGATAAGCACTAACCTGTGAACCACAAGGTCGGCAGTTCAAACCTACCAGCTGCTCCTTAGGATCCCTAGACAAGGTTGCTATGAGTCAGAGCCACTTTGAAGGCACTTAACAACAACAATACTTTAAGAAACCCTGGTAGCATAGTTGCTCTGCATGAAAAGGTTGAAGGTTTCCAAACAAGCAGTGTTTGTTATCTGACGGATGAGAGAAGTTCCCTTAGAAGGGAAGAGAAACAGCTGCAGTGAAGACTAAGGGAACAACGGACATTAAGGCCCACAACATGTATGATAGCCTTTAGGCTATTATATAAGGAAGCTTTTTTAAGACCATGTAACCTGAATGTTAAAAAAGATGTAGAGACCAATTGAAGATGGTACTGCATAGAAGGAGGCACTCAGAGTTTGTAGACAACCTAAAGGTCTGAATTCTAAGACCTATGCAAAGCCTTTTTGCGCTTTAAGCAGGAAGAAACAATCACATTTGCATTTTAAAAGATTATTTTCTCAGGAAATATTATACTTATGTTTCTGAGTAAAATAATTAACAAGTTGTAAAGTGGTTCCCCCTTGTCTTTTGACTGCTTGTTATCAGCCTAGAAAATGGAGGGCTTTTATGTTTCTAGGTTACTTTACTGGGTTTAAATCTAGTCCCTAAGAGACAGAGTCACTTAAGGGGTTGTTTTGTGAAGCCATGTCACATAAAAACTGGCTTCATAAATAGTCTATTTAGAAGAAAGCTTTTAAGACTTGGCTTGCATAGTGCCTTCTTCAAACCATGTCAGTCATCAGTTATGCCACATAAACTTCACGGTTTCAGATGGTAAAGGTCTAAAATGACTATCATGGGAAAGCATCTTTGATGTGGGCTGCACATTAAATCAGATTTCTTTTCTATGTCACTGACTGGGAATTGTTGGAGAGATTAGCCACCATGTCAACAAGCAGGACAACATGGAAAGAGTCTGCTACTGAGCTGTGTTTCCCTGAATTTGTGTTTTGTTAGATCTCTGTCATTTCTTCTGAAGTCTGTAAAGTAGACTAGCATGCAGAAAACGTCTCAAAAATTCCATAGAAAAGTAGTATTCTCCTCATTACTTAAACATGCAACCTCTAGAATAGAGGAGAGAATGTGTACCTTTTCACCCTACTCTTAATGTCTGCCCAACTCAGTGAGGACAATCCCCAGATTTGAACATAACCGCAAGTGCTCTTAATAGCACTACATTTTAGAAATTGATTGTGGTGGTGGTTGTGTGCCGTGCAGTTGGTTCTGACTCATAGTGAGCCTACATAGGGTTTCCAAGGCTGTAAATCTTTACATGAGCAGAAAATCTCAGCTTTCTCCCTCAAAATGACGGATAGTTTTGAACTACTGACCTTGATGTTAGCAGCCCAACTTGTAACCACTATGATACTAGAGCTCCTATTTTAGATATTGATGGTGTTGATAATGTGCTGTGGAGTCGGTTCCGACTCATAGCGACCCTGCATAGGGTTTCGGAGACTGTAAATCTGTATGGAAATAGATAGTCTCACCTTTCTCCCACAGAACAGCTGGTAATTTCAAACTGCTGTGCTATTTAGATATTAGATGGTGAAAATTAAAAAGATTAATCAGATATTATTATTACTATTTAAAAAGTCATTGGAAAGCAGGTAAATAGAAGACTGAGTCCAGAAAGTATTGTTACTAGGGTTCAAGTTCTTACTTGCATGGATTTATTTGAAAATATATATGTTTAAATATGTCCCTGTAATCAGTGGCTAGCTGAAGACAAGTTCTCTCAGTAATAAACTTATCTTAGTCTCATGAGGATGCCTTAAAAAAAAAAAAAGTTCTAATCAAAACAGTGACTTTTAAGAGGTGCAGGTGGATCGGTTAAATTCAAGCCAAAGCGGTCACCACAGAAGGTTATGATGACTGGTTTTAGGTATCCCTAAGGCATAACCCTGATAGCTTTTCTTGAGGGACACAGGATAAGCATGGGAGCTTATGAATGAAGAAATTTGAAATGGAAAACTGCAGTGGTGAGAAAAAGGCCAGGAAAGTTGCACTGATGGATTTTTCCCCCATCATGACAATGCATCTCCTCAGTCTTCTCATGTAGCACGGGCTGTCCAATGAGAATTTCATTGGAAAACCATACCACATCCACCCTACATCTTTGGCCTTTCTCCTTCAGACTTCTTTTTGTTCCCCAAATTCAAAGACCATTTAAAAGAAACACAATTTGAGCCCCTCGAGGATACAAAAACCAGAACGCAGATTTTCAGGGAAGGGTTAGAAAGGTGAGAATGCCACCTTCAGAAATGTATAGACTAGAAGGAGGTTATGTTAAGATATAACAGCGTCATGTTTTGATATTTTTATTTAATAAAGGATTGCTACATGAACGGTTGGTGGTTCAAATCCACCAGCTGCTGCTCCCTGGAAACCCTATACAAGTCATGAGTCAAGACTGACTCAAAGGCACTTAAAAACAACGACAAAAAGAATCCTAGAATTTTACAGACAGAAGTGTTCTCAAAGTAAGGAATGATATTTGAGTACGCTGTGTATGAAATGTCCAAATTAAAGTCAAAAGCATTTGTGCCAATTTGCAAAATGTTAAACTTACATTTGAAATCACTAGCTGTGGAAAAAAATCAATTAAATAGCTTGGTGACATGAAAACCAAAGTTGCATGAGGTTGTCTCTTTTCAGCTGATTACTTATGGAAATGATTTGTCTAATTATAGTATATTCAACATGTGTCACTGCTTACCTTATGCCACAGGATAGAATGGTCCTAATGCCACTGGTTACTTTTATGTTATATTCTATTAACTTTTCAGTAATGGCTTTCTTGTCATTTGCCACTTAGGGCAAGAATCCTATCATATTCATCTTTAGTCTCCCAGAACCAAAAATATAAGGTAGATTTCCAATAAATGATTGAATTACTCCATAAAATATTTTAAAATTCTCATGAAACAAACATGACTTTCTTTAATAATAATTACCAATTAATGTCAATTTCTTATTTAAAGATGTATAAAAATAGTGTTGAAAGTGCAAGATTTACAGTAAAGCTGTCTGGGTTCAAATCCCAGCTATGCCACTCACTAGCTCTGTGACCTGGGTATGTTACCTTCATTCTGTTTTCAATTTTCTCATCTAGAAACTGAGATTACTAATAGAATAGGGTGACCTTCCATAAGGAATAAATAAGTTCATTCAAATAAAAAGTATTATGCGCTGTACTTGGAGCATAAAGCTGCTATCAATACCCGCAGCAGTACCACAAACTCTATCAGCAGCAGCATAGTTATCTTTACTATCATTATCTAAGCAGTACACAGCATAACAATGCCTAGTATATAGCAGGTTCTCAATAAATGATGACTTGATTAGAACTCCTAAGAAAATATAACCACCATTTCTTTAACTATATGTACACAGACATCTAATTTCACACTTACATACTTGTGCATCTCCAGAGAAAGAAATTTCTTTATCAAGGATTGATTTTGCATATAGCCAATTCCATTTTATTTTTAAAAAGTGAGCAAAAATGGGCAGTTTTCAAATTATTGTGTTTAGATCAAGGAGGCCTGCTAGTACAGTGGTTAAGTGTTTAACTGAAAGTGGCTAACCAAAAGGTTAGCAGTTCGAACACACCAGCCTTCATGCCAGAGAAAGATTTGCGAATCGGTTTCCATTAAGACTGTGCTGCCAGAGTGTTCCAACTCATTGTGACTCTGGATAGGATTTCACAGGAGTGGTTGTTGGGTTTGAACCAGCTGTAGGATACTAGTCTAATTGTTATCCTATAGTGACAGCCTTGAAACTCTAAGGGACAGTATCTACTCTGCCTATTTGTTGTTGTTGTTGTTAAGTGCCGTCGAGTCTATAAATCCCAATCTACTCAAAGGCAGTGGGGTTTGGTATGGGCTTTTTTGTTCTTGTCATTATTAAGTACCATGGAATCAGTTTCCACTCATGTTGCTGTTACTGTGTTCTCCAAATGGTTCTGACTCATAGCTACCCTGCATAGGGTTTCAAGAAGCAGCTGGTGGGTTTGAACTGCTGATCTTAGAGTCCATTTTGACTCATAGTGATCCTGTATTGAGTTTGTTTGTTATTGCTGTTAAGTACTACCAAGTCAGTTGACTCATAGCGACCCTGACTATGGTGGGTTTGAACCACTGACTTTCTGGGTCACAGTCCAGTATTTATCCTACAGTGCCATACCTGGAGTTGGCTGAGTTTGTTTGTTGTTGTTGTTAAGTGCCATTGAGCTGGTTTCAACTTATAGCAAACCTTGTAGAGGGTTTCTGAGGAGCAGCTAGAGGGTATGAACCGCCAAACTTGAGGTTCAAACTGGCCTAACAGTCCAGTGCCTATCCTACAGTGTCATACCAGAACACAGCAAAAATTGGTATCAGAGAAACCACTAAAGGTAGCTTTAGTTTTGAGGATCCCTAATAAATGGCCACTTGTGGGATTTTTTCACTTGTTCTTTGAATCGCTCAGCTTCTGGAGGGTCATTCTATGAAAGAAAGAGAGAATTTCTGGAAACTACTTAGAAACATTTGAAGAAGTGTTAATAATTTCAGGAGTTGAAAGCATGCCTTCCCTGTTGTCCAGGAACGGGAGTGAATGCCAGTTCACCAGTACAACCATCACCACTACCCATCAAAGGTTTTTCATTACCTTAAACAGAAACCTAATACCTTTTAGGTAATAACTCCCCCTCTCCTCTTCTCCTCATTCCTGGTAACCACTAATCAAAGTTTATCTCTGTGCATCTCAGACATTGTGTTGTCTCTGCTAAACCACTAAGTTACCTGGGTCTTTGCTCCCGTGCTGTAGAGGCCAGCAGTCCTTCCCATGGCTGCAGCACTTGGGATGCAGAAGAAAAATGAAGGAATCACATTGCTGAGGCCATGTGCCAAGAATTCCTGCAAGATTGATAATAGGAGATTGTATCACTCCTTAACCACAACAGACTTTTTAGAGACCACAGGCACAACTTGTTGAAGAATGAGTTTTATTAGTACTTAACCCCCATTCCCTTCATCAGTTGGAATTTAAGAATGATAATAAAAATAGTTCATAGTTACTATGTACTTATAATGAGCCAGAAACTCTTCTAAGAACTCTACTTATAACAACCCTATAAGGAAATATATGGTATTCATTTATACTTTGTTGTCAAATTTCCTCTATGGTTTTTAAGTCACTATAATCAGACTTTTTATTTTCTGCTACTCCATCAATGGGGAGTCCTGGTGTGGCACTGTGGGTTAATGCACCAGACTGCAAAGCCGTTTGAACTGCAAGGTCGGCAGTTCAAGCTCACCAGCTGCTCCTTGGAAACCCTATACAGGGTCGCTATGGGTCAGAATCGACTCAATGGCACTTCACAACAACTCCATCAATGATCTTTACAATGCTAAATCCAATCATTAATCTTAGTTTACTTGATCTAAAAGCAGCATTTGAACAAGTTGGCATAACCTCCTCCTTAAGGATTTTGTTTGGCTTCTAGGATCTAACACTATACCTAGGTTTCCTTTGACCTCTCTGGAGACCATTTTCTGTGTGGTGCTGTCTCCTCTAGCCAGTCTCAAATGCCGAATCCCTTCTCTTCTCTATCTAGATCTTAGCTACCCAAATACAAAAGGCACATAGATAACTTCCAACTTGGTATGTCCAATTTGTAACACTCTTCTGAACTTGAGATTCATGCTACCAACCTGTTAGAGTCTTCATTTGGATGTCTGTGAGGCATCTCAAATATACTAAACAGGACTACTACTTATTATCACCTCCAATCTTCTCCTTCCACATTCTCCCCCTTCTCAAGTCTTAACTTTCTTTTAAAGGTTAGGAATGAAAGTGGAATGTAAACAGAAAACATAGGGGAGAAAGGGGATATGTAATGTTACATTGTAGGGACTGTAATCCAATGGCATGAAACACAGTGCGTATGAATTAGTAAATGGAAAACTGCTTGGTAAACTTTCACTCAATTCACAATAAAAATTATATTTTAAAAAAGCTTTAAAATTATTCTTGACTAGTCCTCAACTTCCCACACTCCATTTATACCCCAACCAAAATCTGTCTGCTCCTCATCTCTGGATTCTACACCTTGTTCCAAGTCATAGTATTTCACCTGAATTATTGTAAAGGGCTCGAAATGGTTTTCCCTGTTTCTTCTGTTGCTAGTAAAGACATAGATAAATATCCCTGCTCTCATAGAGCTGGCATTCTGATGAGGGAATGCTGACAGTACACATAATACATAAGAACATTAAGACATAGAAGGAAACAGGAAATTCTGAAGTTTATGATTTCTGATTACCAAGGAAGACTTCAGAGATGGGAATATTCAAATAACCAAGAATAGAATTCCTGGAAAAAGGAATCATAAGTGCAAAAGTCTTGAGTCAAATACATGCCTGATGGGTTGGTTCAAGGAAGGCAAGGAGGTAAGTGTGGCTAGAACAGAGTGAAAAGGGTGAGCGATTATGGAGGAAAAGTGGTGGGGACACATCACATTGTTCTTGTAAACCATGGTGAAAAGGTTGACTTTTCTTCTAAGCATGATGGAAACCCATGGAGAGGTTTTGAGCAGAGGAAAGACACGATCTCTGTTGTTCACCCAAGTATCCCTTGTACCTAGAACAGTGTCTAATGCATAATAGGGTTCAATAAGCATGTGTTGAATAAATATATCTACTTTTTATAGATGAGGATATTGAAACACCATTTAATGTCAGAGCAGGAGTGACTAGGTGGAACAACCGTTAATAACTTGGCTGCTAGCGAAGAGTTGGACGTTTGAGTTCATCCAGAAGTACCTTAGAAGAAAGGCCTGGCATGCTACTTTTGAAAAACCAGCACCTGAAAAATCCTATGGACTACAGTTCTATTATGACACACTTGGAGTTACTAGGAGTCAGAACTGACTCTACAGCAGCTGAGAAAGTCAGAGTAAGATTTGTGTTGAAGCCATTCAGCATTTGGAATCACTACACTGCAGCTGCCTCTGCAGAACTGTGCAGCTCTGTAAAGCCACCAGACTTGAAACAAGACAAAACAGGCAATATAATAAGCACCGCTGGGTATTCAAAGATACATTCTCATTTCTTTTAGTTTTTTACTAAGTATGTTGTTTTTGCTGTTACAAGCTGTTGAGTCGATTCAGACTCATAGTGACCCAATATATGGTTTCAGAGGAGAAGCTGGTGAGTTTGAACTGCCAACCTTGCAGTTAGCAGTCCAGTGCTTATCCTGCGGTGCCAGTGCCACACTAAGTATTGCTGTATTTCCTGTTAAGTGCTGTCAAATTGATTCCAACTCATAGCCACCCTATATAGGGTTTCCAAGGAGTGGCGTTGTGAGTTTGAACCGCTGACCTTGTGTTCAAATGGACCTATGGTCAAGAGCTTATCCTACAGTGCCACATCAGAACTCCACACTGAGTACAGTAAGTAATATTAATGTTATACTTATCTATCTGTATTTGGAAATTTGTCATTTTAAAAGTAAGCATGCAATTGCAAATGTGTCTTTAAAATATGACTCTCTTCCGAAACCAAACCAAAGAGATTATCCAGCATGCCTCTCAAATATAAATATACACTTTACATATATAGTCAAACAACCCATGAAAGTCAGATTTTCTGCTTTTTAAAATAATTAAAGATTTTTATTTAATTAGTTTTCTCCTCATTCATTTCACACACTGAGGAAAGTTGTATTTTTCATAAATCCCACATTGTTGGGATCTGGGAGAATATGGAACAATGATACAAGAGAAGTAGAGAGGGATTGGGTACAAACTCCACCTGATTGTCATCAACGGAATATTTGAATTTTTTGGCAGATCCTTGAGCAAGAGCCAGGGAGGCCACATAGCCTACAAGCGCCACTCCAAAAGCCTCAGTGATTACAGCGGAGAGGATGTTCATGGGGGGAGCTCTAGGTGGAGGAATTCTGCAGAAAGAAAAACCATATTGAAGTCATCAACCTTCATGCAATTTCTGTGGCAACTTGCAATGAATTCAACTGTGGTAATGACGCTGAAGTTTACATAGAATGAGTGAAATCCCCATGGGAAACCCAAGCAGCCATATTCTTAGAAGTCTTTTGTTTTCAGCATTATTTAACAGAAAAGCAAAATCACACAGACTATCAGACATAGCTTCAAGCATCTTAAATGGCATTTACGCCCAGGGAATTCAGATTACACCACAGAAACTTTAACTCAACAAAAAGTTCCTGATTCTGTAGCAGAATGAAAGCAAATCTGGAACATTTCTTTCATTTGAACCTTTCCAAATATTTATTTGGTTGGTCTTAGAGATTGTATTTCCCCCTAAACACTGCATTGATGTATGCAAATACTAGTTTACTGTAAGCTACAATTTGTGAGTTCATTCCTAAATTTGTCATTGAGTCCTTTATCTTAAATAGATTTTTAACTGCTCTTTCACAGTACGTTTAACCACGTATTAAATATGTGCAGAAAAATATTTATAAAGGCTCAGTCTAGTCTCTGTAGCAAAATATAGAGCCAGAATCAGCAGGCTTACGGTTTCAAGAACTTGGGTTTAGAATATTTCTCCTAGATACTGTCTTCTGAAAATGACCTGAGCCAAAATATCACCATTTATTTATCCCTAACATTGATTTTGGAGTCCTGGTGTGGCACTGTGGGTAAATACACCAGACTGTAAAGCCATTTGAACCGCAAGGTCAGTGGTTCAAGCTCACCAGCTGCTCCTTATACAGGGTCATTATGGGTTGGAACCGACTAGATGGCACTTAACAACAACAACAACAACATTGCTTTGGGGGGATTCATCAAAGAAATATATTCCTCAGGGGAAAATTAGGACAAAAAAAAAAGGAAGATAATTCATTTTGATTTCATACGTAGCATATGTCCTGGTAGGATCTCTGGTAGCACAGTGGTTACAAGTCAGGATGCTAACCTCTAGGTTAGTAGTTTTAAAATACCAGCGGTTCCACAGGAGAAAGATGAGACTTTCTGCTCTCGTAAAAATTTACAGCCTCAGAAACCCTCTGCAGGGTCTCTATGAGTCAGAAGTGACTCTACAGCACACCACCACCACCACCACCACCACCATATGTCCTGTGGATTAATGCAGTGGACTGCAAGGTCAGTTTGAATCACAGGGTTAGTGGTTTAAGCTCACCAGCCACTCCTCAGAAACCCTATTAGGGTCACTATGAATTGGACCAACTCAACGACACTTAATAACAACAACAATATGCCCTACAATGGCGCCCTACTGGTGCAATACGGTAAACACTGGACTGCAAACACAAGATGAGCAGTTCAAAACCAACAGAAAAAGATGATGTTTTCTGCTCTCTGCAAGATTCACAGCCTCAGAAACCCTATGAGTCAGAATCAACTTGATTGTATATATGCTGCAAATCGAATGGTAAGCTCTTTTACATTAGTTATTTCATTTACTATTCCCAACAATTCTCCCAAACTGAGTACAATCATATCCACTGTCTTGATGAGAAAACTTTCTAGAACAATTAGGATACTCTCTAGTGGCAGAACTGGGATTCAGTTTCAGCCCTTCTCCTTTCATGATTCCTTAAGATATTGGCTCTGGAATGGTCTCTCAAAATACAGGAGAATTAAAAATAATGAAGGAAAATCATTTTTTTTCAACCCACTTATAAAAATTTATCACCAAGACACAATGCTTTGCATCATTTCAGGCCCTATGATATATGTAGTTTAAAACTGTTCATCTCAAAACATAAAAATTCACATACATGAAAATTAAGCTTCCCTAATTATTAATGATTGCTGAAAGTGAAGATGACTTAAAATATTTACTGATGAAGATCATGGAGCACAGCCTTTGGTATGGATTGCATCTCAATGTAAAGAAAACAAAAATCCTCACCACTGGACTAATAAACAACATTCTTATTAACGAAGAAAAGACTGAAGTTGTCAAGGACTTCATTCTTCTTGGATCAACTATCAACACTCATGGAATTATCAGTCAAGAAATCAAATGACGTATTACATAGGAAAATCTGCTGCACAAGATCTTTATAAAGCGTTGAAGAGCAAAGATATCAGCTTGAGGACTAAGATGTGCCTGACCCAAGCCATGGTATTTTCAACTTCATATGTATGCAAAAGCTGGACAGTGAATATGGAAGACCATAGAAGAACTGATGCTTTTGAGTTATGGTGTTGGAGGAGAATATTCAAAGTGCCGTGGGCTGCCAAAAGAACAAACAGGTCTGTGTTGGAAGAAGTGCAGCCAGAGTGCTCCTTGGAGGCCAGGATTGTCAAACTTCATCTCTCATACTTCAGACATATTGTTAGATGGTACCAGTTGCTGGAGAAGGATATCATGTTTGGTAAGGTGGAGGGTCAGAGAAAAAGAGGAAGACCCCAGCAAGATGGATTGGAAAAGTGGCAGCATCAATGGGCTCAAGCATGACAACAATTGTGAGGTTGGTCCAGGACTGGGTAGTGTTTCATTCTGTTGTACATAGGGTCGCTATGAGTTGGTACCAACTCGATGGCATCTAACAACAACAATTATTAATGAAAAGTCCTCGTGTGGCACTGTCAGACAAGTACTAGACTGCTAACCTCAATGTTGGCAGTTTAAGTCCACCAACTGCTCCCTGGAAACCTTACACAGGGTCGATGTGAGTCAGAATTGACTCTATAGCACTTAACAAGTCAATTGTTATTGAAAGAGTTCTGGTGGCATAGTGGGTTGTGAACAGGGCTGCTAATTGCAAGGTCAACTGTTTGAATCTCTAGTCACTCTTTAAGAGAAAGATGAGGATTTCTGATTTCATAAAGAATTACAGTATCTGAAGCCCTCTATAGGTTGCTACAAACTGGAAGCACCCAACCACACAACCACTACCACTGATAGCATGGATTTACCAACCTAAACAAAATGGAGTCAGTTTAGTCATAATGCCTTATAAATGAGGACCCTGCAAATGAGGAAATTAGTTTAAAACTCATCTGAGATGACCTCATGGTCCTAGAAGGAGAACAGGACATGCTAAAGCCCACCCAAACTGTTAAGATAGTTATCTCAGGAACTAAGCCACTGTGACCCTAAAAGGTGGAATGTTTGAGAAGGATTATTGACTTATTGTTCCTTTTTCCCTAAAGGCAGAATGTTTAAGAATTCATTACCTTATTATTTCTTTCTCCAAAAATGCATCCCTGATGTTAGGACAGATTAAGTGTACATTCAAATGTAACTTTACCCTACATAATGTGCCTGTTCTTTGTAATGTACAGGACAGTCCCCAGAGTATTCTCCCTGTCCTCCAGACTGCTGGCTTTCTGTTAACAGAGCCTGGATTGGATCTCTGCCCGTCTCTGTGACTGACTACAATGATAGGCAGCAAACCCTCATTTCAGTGTGGCAACACCACCACTAATTATTAATGGATGGGTGTACCTTATGCTATTTAAATTACCAGTGGCATATCTGCAAGTATTACAGCAGTACACAAGACACCACAGTACAACAAACTGACAGAAAAGTAGTGGCCACCTTTCAAAGGAGCTGTCACACTAACACAGAATAGGAAGAAGGAAAAGAACACCACTTCTGAAAGACTATCTTTCAGAAAGTAGGATATTTTCTGATATAGTGCAAGAAGATGAATACCTCATGTTTGAAGGCACTCAAAATACAACAGAAGAAGAGCTTCCTCCTCAAAGCAGAGTTGACCTTAATGATGTGAATGGAGAAAAGCTTTGGAGACCTTCATTTGCTAGTGGGGCAAACTCAAAATTAGAGTAAATATCTGAAAACATACATTAATAATCAGAAGATGGAATGGGTGGAGCATGAACCTAGAAAAATGGGAAGTCATAAAGAAGGAAATGGCATTTTTGTTTGCTAGGCATTATTGCTAAGTGCTGTTGAGTCGGTTCCAACTCATTGCAACCCTGTATAGGGTTTCTGAGGAGCTGTTGGTATTGGCCATTTTGAATCTAACAATCATATGGCTTAATATGACAGGAATGACAGATTGAAGAATGGTGTCCCATTTGTCGTGAAAAGAAGCATTTCAATATCTAGAAGTACAATGCTGTCTGTGATAAGACATATCCAAACACTTACTAGGAAAACAAGTTAATACAATTTATATTCAAATTTATGTACTAATCGCTAAAGCCAATAATGCTGAAATTCAAGAATTCTACCAACTTCTTGGATCTGAAATTGATCAAACATGCAATAAAGATGCATTGTTAATTACTGGTGACTGAAATGTGAAAGTTGAAAGCAAAGAGGAAGGCTCAGTAGTTGGAAAACATGGCAGTGGTGATAGAAACGATGCTGCAAGATTACATGATAAAAGTTCACAAGACCAACGACTGCCATTGCAAAACCCTTTTTTTTTTTTAACAACAACATAAAAAAAGCACATGGACCTCACCAGATGGAATACACAGGAATCAAATTGACAACATCTGTGAAAAGAGACAACAGAGAAGCTCAATATCATTGGCCAAAAGAAGATCAGGGGCCACTGTGTTACAGACCATCAATTACTCATTTTCAAGTTAAGGTTGAAATGGAAAAAAATTAAAACAAGTCAATGAGAGCCAAAATATGACCTTGAGTCCATCCCACCTGAATTTAGAGATCATGGCAAGAACATATTTAATGTATGAGACACCAATGACCCGAGATCAGAAGAGTTGTGGGATAACATCAAGAACATCACACATGAAGAAAACAAAAGGTCATTAAAAAGAGAGGAAAGAAACAAAACAAATGTCAGGAGCCACTCTGAAGTTTACTCAAGCCTCAGCATGCAATACTGAAGGATTCCATAGGAAAAATATTAAATGAGGAAGAAAGCATCAAAAGAAGATAGAAGGAATATATACTCACTGCACCAAAAAGGTCTGAGATCAATTTTCAGCCATTTCAAGAGCTAGTAGGTGATCAAGAACCAATAGAAGAAGTCCAAGCTGCACTGGCAAAAAACAAGGTATTGGCAAAAAAACAAGGCTCCAGGAATTGACCAAATACAAATTTAAATTTTTCAACAAGCTGATACAGTCCTGGAGGTGCTCATTCACCTATGCCAAGAAATTTGGAAGACAGCTACTTCACCAAAAAAAGATGACCAATGGAATGAAGAAATTGTCTAACAATATCATTAATATCATATGCAAACAAAATTTTGCTGAAGGTAATTAGAAAACAGTTACATTGACTGGGAAGTGTCAGAAATTAAAGCCAGCTTCAGAAGAGGACTTAGAACAAGAGAAATCATTGCTGAGGAAACATGAATCTTGGCTGAAAGCAGAAAACAACAGAAAGATGTTTACTTGTGCTTTATTGACTATGAAAAGGCATTAGACTATGTGGATCATAACAAACTACGGATAAAATTGCAAAGAATTGGTATTACAGAACACTTAATTGTGCTCATGAGGAATCTGTATATAGACCAAGAAGCAGTCATTAGAGGAAGATATGGGGACACTGCCAGGTTTAAATTTAGGAAAAGTGTGTGCCAAGGTTCTATCATTTTACCATATTTATTCAATCTCTATGCTGAGCATATAATACAAGAGCTGGATTATACAAAGAAGAATGTGGCATCAAGATTGGAGGAAGACTGATTAGCAACCTGCAATATGCATATGACACAACTTTGCTGGCTCGAAGTGAAGAGGATTGAAATACTGATGGATATCAAAGACTACAGCCTTCAGTATGGATTGCACCTCAATGTAAACAAAATGAAAATCTTCACATCTGAATTAATAAATACCTTCATGATAAATTTATATGGAGAAAAGATTGACTTTTTCAAAGACCATTTTGCTTGGATCTACAATCAATGCTCATGGAAGCAGCAGTCAAGAGATCAAAGAACATAACTGTATTAGGCAAACATACTGCACAAGACCTATTTAAAGTGTTAAAGAGCAAAGACATCATTTGAGGACTAAGGTGCACCTAACTCAAGCCATGGTATTTTCAATAGCTTGATGGCACTTAACAACAACAACAATATGCCTCCGAAAATTGAACCATGAATAAGGAAGACTGTGGAAAAAATCAATACCTTTAAAATATGGTGTTAGTAAAGAATACTGAAAGTAACATGGACAAACAAACGAATCTGTCTTAGAATAACCACAGCCAGAATGCTCCTCAGAAACAACAATGGGGAGACTCTTGTCTCTCATACTTTGGGCAAGGTGTCCGGAAGGATCAATCCCTGGAGAAGGACATCATGCTTGGTAAAGTGGAGGATGAGTGAAAAAGAGGAAGATCCTCTCTTCTCCCCTCAACAAAAGCAACTGACACAGGGGATTGAAAACAATGGGCTCAAACATGACAATAATTGTGAGGCTGGTGAAGGATTAGGCAGTGTTCTGATGTACACAGGGTTGCTGTAAGTGAGATGATACATTGTTATGGAGCAGAAGGCTTCATCTTGTGTTTGTGGAGTGGCTGGTGGCTTTGAACTGCTGACCTTGTAGTTAGCAGCCCAACTTGTAACCCACTACGCCAACAGGGCTACTTTTGTGGGGAAGAGGGCAGACTAAATCCCTAGAATGACTCTAATTTGCAAATACAATGCCACTTTTTTTTTCCCAAAAAATATCTTTTTTAATAATTTCCAAATGTTTTACCTGGAGCAATGCTGTACAAAAATTATCAGGTTCCTTTTTAACAAGTGAATGTCTTAGGAATTTACTCTTTTTCTATATTTGTAGTGCTTTGTTTATTTCATTTTAAAACAGAGAGTAACAAAAAATCTTTTCCATACAGGGCCTGAAATAATAGAATTCATACCAACCCACCACTACCCCTCAGTCCCTTCTCCAAAAAAAGTCAACAAAGAAGAAAAGAGAGACTACATTACCCTTTTGGAATATGACCAAGCACTGCTAATCCATATGTATGTTCCATATTGGTACAATAACAAGCAAATGATGCTGCAACAATCTTCGTGGTTCCATGTAAAAAAAGAAAGAGAAAATTATATTACTGGCCTCACAAACACCTTAAAATCATGTTTAAAGTAAACATTGCTATATAGCCCATAATTGACAAAAGTACGATAGCAATTGAACAGAATTTTTCATTAAGAAAGTGTTTTGCATAATCCAAAATTTCCTTTGAGTTATTAAAAGAACTTGATTCACAGTCTCAAAAATTAAATGGCAACTCTTTACATGAATGTTTTATTGTACTAGCCTGTGTCAACTCAACTATGTCTTCTAATTTTGAAGGAAAGCAAAACACAGAATATAAAAGTGTGTTATGCATGTGTGTACATCCGTATTGAATATGTGCATGCACACAGACACCATAGTCCAACCTAAAACGTGTCTTTCAAGACATGAAGTGATATTTGGTAAGGCAGCACATTTTCTCTTCATGAAGCCACTTGTCAGGTATTTGATACATTGCATAAGCTTACCGATATTAGTGATCTGTGATGATTTACAATTTCCTTGGATCTTTTTATAATTTTGAGCTTTTATCATTGTTTTGAAACAAAATATACAAGTTGAAACCCTGTTGTGCTCAGTGTTTTCAATATTATCACTGTGGGATCTTAAGGCACCTTGTACTTCTGTTCTTGTGAGACAGTAAATAAGGTCAGGTGTTCTCTGCCTATACTACACTGTGTTTAAAATGTATGCCAGAGCCAAGTTCAGCCTTTGTTTCACAAGCCATGCCAGCCTAATGGTTCAATGCATTTTCAGATTCTACCCTCATTCTCATAATTTTAACATGTACTGAAATTTTCATAAGGTTATGCTATCAGTTTGGAACTCCTTAAATACAATTCCTTTCTAACTAAACAAGACGCACCAATTAACCATCTAGAGCAGGGGTGGGGAACTGTTTTTCTGCCAAAATTTCTAACATCATTCTCAGGTCATACAAAATTGTCAACTTAAAAATTAACCTGCAATATTCAGTCAAATATTTCATTAACTCACATTATGGTGCTGTGCGTTAATGCACTGGACTACAAGGTGGGTTTGATCCACAAGGTCAGCAATTCAGGTTTACCAGCCACTCCTCGGAAACTCTATACAGGGTCCCTGTGGGTTGGAACTGACTGGACAGCATTTAACAACAATGTGATGGCTGGAACTGTGGTTGCCTTGGCAGGGCCAGACTAAATGATTTTGTGGGCCTTACACAGTCTGAGAGCCAGATGTTCCCTACTCCTGATCTAAAGTATAAGTTTATCATACACGTGATCAGGAAAATGTACAACATGCACAGGTAAACATCTTTCTGGTCTTCTTTGCTTTTAACCAAGATCCATCTAACATCTGTAATGATATCCCTTATTCCACGTGCTTGTCTGAATCCAGCTTGAACCTCTGAAAGTTCTCTGTCAATGTATGGCTGTAGCCGTTTTTGTATTCTTTAAAAAAATTTTACTTGCAGTTGATATTAATAATATTGTCCAATGATTTCCTCATTCTGTTGGAACAAAAATATGGATCTCTTCTAGTCAGCTGGCCAGGTAGCTGTCTTCTAAATTTCTTGGCATAATTGAGTGAGTGCCTCCAGTGCTGCAACAACTTGTTGAAAGATTTCAGTTTGCAGACCATAATTCCCAGAGCTTTGTCCTTTCCCAATGCCTTCAGTACACCTTGGATTTCTTCATTCAGTATCATTGGCTTTTGATCATATACTACCTCTTGAAATGGTTGACTACTGACCATTTCTTTTTGGTAGAGTGTATATTCCTTCCATCTTCTTTTGATGCTTTCTGCATCATTCAATATTTTACCCAGTGAATCCTTAAATATTTCAAGTTGAGGCTTGAGTTTTTATTTCAGTTCCCTCAGTTTGAGAAGTAATGAGCGTGTTCTTCCCTTCTGGCTTTCTAACTCTAGGTCTTTGCACATTTTGTTATAATATTTAACCCTGTCTTCTTGAGCTGCTCTTTTAATTTTTTTATTCATCTCTTTTACATCTTAATTTTCTTCCATTTGCTTTAGCATCTCTACGCGGGAGCACAAGTTTCAGAGTCTCTTCTTGGTCTTTTCCTTCTTTCTTGTCTTCTTAATGACCTTTTGCTTTCTTCCTGTATGATGTTCGATGTCATTCCACAACTTTTCTGGTCTTAGGTCTTTAGTGTCTAATGCATCAAATTTGTTCTTCTGATGATCTCTAAGTTCAGGTGGGATATGTTCAAGGTCATATTATGACTCTCGTGGACTTTTTTTTAACTTTCTTCAGCTTCAGCCTGAATTTGCTTATGAGCAATTGATAGTCGGTTCCACAGTCTGCCCCAGCCTTGTTTTAGCTGATAACATGGAGCTTTTCCACTGTCTCTTTCCATAGATGTAGTCAATTTGATTTCTGTGTATTCTATCTGGTGAGGTCCATGTGTATAATAATCTTTGTTTTCCTTTTACATTGTTTAAAAAAAGGTATTTCCAATGAAGAAGTCATGTAGCATTCTATCATGCCATCTCTAGCATCATTTCTATTACCCAGGCCATATTTCCCAACAACGGATCCTTCCTCTTTGTTTGCAACCTTTGCATTCAAATTGCCAGTTATTATTAATACATCTTGATTGCATGTTTAAGCAGTTTCAGACTGAAGAGTTGGTAGAGTTCTTCAATTTCATCCTCACTGGCTCTACTGGTTGGTGTATAAATGTGAATAATAGTGGTATTTACTGGTCTTCCTTGTAGGTGTATGGATATTATCGTTATCACAGACAGTGTTGTACTTCAAGACAGATCTTGACATGTTCTTTTGATCTTCATTTTGTCATACCTGGCATTTTAAACCATGTGATTGTCAGATTCAAAATGGCCAGTATCAGTCCATTTCAGTTCACTAATGCCTAGGATATCGATGTTCGTATTCCGTTTCATTTTTCCAATTTTCCTAAATTCATACTTCATACATTCCATGTTCTGATTATTAATGGACGATTACAGCTGTTTCTCTTCATTTTGAGTTGTGCCTCACCAGCAAATGATGTCCCAAAGGCTTTACTCCATTCACATCATCACAATCAACTCTATTTTGAGGAATCTCAAAATCTGAGGGATTCATCTTCCAGCACTATATTCTGACAATATTCTGGTACTCTTCATGATGTTTCAATCTTCATTATTCTGGTCCTGACAGTATTCCACAGTGATTCATAAGGTTTTCAATGACTAAATATTCTGAAGTAGTCCGTCTCTCATCCTTCCTAGTCTCTCTTCATTTGAAAGCTCAGCTAAAACCTGTCCACTCTGGGTAACCCTGCTGGTATTTAAAATACCTGTGGCATTGCTTCCAGAATCACAGCAACATGCAAGTCACCACAGTATGACAAAATGACAGATGAATGGTGGGACTTTTGCCTAGGGTCTTGCAAATGTTAGAGGCAAGACTGCATCATGATGATCTTCTATTTTGTTATTAGTACATATTTTTTACTATTGTCACATGGAATAAGCAACTATTTTATTACTAGTTTAGGGGACTTTATTCCTAAGGTTACTTTAATTTTATTTTGGGTTTCATGAAAGTATGTGAAAAGGTTCAAAGATATAATACGTATTTTGTAATATCTATGTTGTTGTTGTTGTTGCTAAGTGCCATGTTGTCGGTTCTGACTCAGAGCGACCCTGTACAGGGTTTCCGAGGCTGTAAATCTTCATGAGAGCAGAAAGCCTCATCTTTCTCCCACGGAACAACTGGTAGTTTCGAACTGCTGACAGTGAGATTAGCAGCCCAATTTGTAACACACAACTTACTACGCTACCAGAGTTCCTTTTCATTGGAATAAGGTGGTAAATTTCACAGTTCAAAACTAATAATCATAGCATCCTGCACTTTAATTGCTTATTTGAAATATACATAAACCCATCATGTATATAATGCATGCTACATGTATTACAACAAATAATCAAGTGTATTGAATATTACATGGCCTAGTTATGAAGAGAAGTCATACATATCTTTGTGTTATAGAAATAAATTATATCTTTCAGAGATATAATCCAATGTGCTAGCAAAAATTAATATAAGCCTACACCATTACAGCTCTATGAAGGGATATTACAATATAAGAATTTAGTTAGACACCACCTAACATATGAGGGCTTCAAACAAACAGTTCATGGAAAAATGGAATTGAAATATAATGGAATTTTTCCCATATACTTTATGAAGCCACAACATACATGTCTAACTGAAAAACCCATTAGAAAATTCAAGCCAATTAATGATAAGTAAGTTAGTAGATGGTTGCAGTGTTACCATTTCATTTTCAATTTAATACTTGGTTTAATTAATAGGTCCTTTTAAACCAAACCAAACAAAAACAAAAACAAAAACAAAAAACATTGCTGTCAAATTAATTTCAATTCTATAAAGAAACAAATCAAAAAAACACCCAATGTCCGTCACAGCCATTGACTGGATACTGATTCATAGAGACCCTATATAGGAACACTGAAATGAAATTTTTACAGGAGCAGAAAGTCTCATCTTTCTCCTTCGGAGTGACTGGTCGGTCTGAGCTGTGGACCTTGTGGTTAATAGATCAACAGCTAATGCATAGCACCACCAGGCTCTTAAAATTCAAATTGACATTTTTTTTTTTTTTTTAATGTAATAAGGCTAAAGAAAAATTACAATTTACTTTGTTCAACAACAATATTTTGGAGAACCAGTCCTGGCTAATGAAAGCTATGGGTTTCATTTCAATATAAGTAAAGTTAGATGAGCAACACAAGTGTCAACCAATCTGACAACCATTAATGGACATCTGCCAGTTGATAACATTTCTAGGCATATTATGGATGTGCCACATGAAGAGGATGTGATAAGAATCTTTCATTGTTTTCAAGAAGATCATGGAAAGATTATGAGACTGTCACTCATAGAAATGTCTCCTTATTTAAAATATTAACCTATATGTTCTCTCTCCACCCCATTTTTAAAAAAGTTTTCATTGTGAACTGAATGATAGTTACATGGGAGAACATCTGTTTTACACTCATCATTTCATTGCAATGATTCCAATCTCCACCGTGCATCATCATTCAACAGTATTAGCTTCTATTCTCTCTTTTTGTTGTTGTTGTTGTTTGGGGGGATGTACACAAAAACACTCAGGAATATATAATTATTTAAACAATCCAAGGGCACATTATGTAAGCCTGCCTCCTGGCCACCAGCACCCATCCTTTATCTTTCCATGAGTCTAAAGTCCTCAGCTGCTCTCTCTCTCCATGTCCTCATCTCTGCCTCCATCTTTCGTGCCATTGCTTCTCTGGATAGGGTCTCACATTCCGCTCATCCTCTTCTTCCTTGATGGTCCTAGGGTCCTCTGTTCCTAGAATGTAAGATTAACTACTCCCCCCTTTTTGATACAAAACTTCTATAGTTGTGACAGTTGCTAACAATTACTCACTATGGAGTCACAGGAATCTTACCCTTTTTCATTTCACCAGACCCAGCTAGACAAGATGAAAACTTGTTAAGTGCCTTCGAGTCAGTTCCGACCCATAGCGACCCTGTACAGGGTTTCTGAGGCTATAAATCTTTATGGGAGCAGAACACCTCATCTTTCTCCTGCGGAACGGCTGGTAGTTTCGAACTGCTGGCCTTAAGGTTCGCAGCCCGATTCGTAACCACTATGCTAACTATTCTGTTGGAATTCTGCCTTCCCCCACACACTCTAAAACTAAATTCCCTCTTGAAACTTGTAAACCAGTCAGTTGCTGTCTTTATAGCTCCCCATTTTAGATAGCCAATGTCTAAGTTGCCCATCCCTAGCAATCCTGTATACAGAGAGGATAGGATTGATTGATACTTAATGTTAAGACTCCTTCCCTCACAGTTGGTATTTTGAGTTACTACAACCATAAGTGTACGTCAAGTTCATAAATTGTAGCAATTTACACTTGTTTCTTTTATCAAAAAAAAAAAATTTTTTTTTTTTTTAATCTTCCTCTAGTCGAGTTCTGATCATCATGACATTGGAGCTAGGTCAAATGGGTACTATCTATAAGTTTGGGCATTCTTGTGCATCTCCCCTCACTTCATATCAGCTGGATACTTTACTCTCAGCTCTATCCCTCCATGGTTATGTCCCTGTCCATGGGCTCAGGAGTCCCCAGGTCTCACCACACTTTGGACCAGCCAGCCCTTCCTCTTCTCTCTCTTGTCTCCAGGTCAGCAGGAGTCTATGGAACATGGTTGAACTGAGCCCATGTCTACATTGCTGCCTTTCCCCTTCTTCTACTCACCAGTAGACCAACGTAGTCACCAGCAAGGCTATATGTTCTCTTATTTATGTTAGAAATTGCAAGCATACGAGAAATGCTTTATGAATTGAAAACATGTGTGCCTCCTTTTTTAAATTATTGGCTCAAAATGTTTCCTGTTCTTACATTAATGTATAGCTACGCAAATTAGCCCTACTTTAATAAGAGACAGGAGTCACTGTGGGTTACCGTAGACAATATAGTGAGCATTTACGGATTACCCCAACTGGCAAATGTTGTAATGCAGAATGTCTAAACATTGATTTTATACTTACCAAAACTAAATCGACAGGAAGAACAACTTTAATTTTCCTTTTAAATTGTTCATTCAGCTCTTTAACAAGAACAAGCACCACGATGCTTAGCAAGGATAAGAGCAATGCTTCCAATCGGACCGACTTGATATTTTCAAAGACATATGCATAAATCTATAGGTATGGGGGGGGAAATACAAACACATTTCAAGGTCATCTACAATATAGCAATATCTAAGTCTGGCCCAAATAAACTCAGTAATGGTTTACAAAAATATCTCAATAACCGTAGGAGAGGCGAGTGCTAACAATCAGCACAATATATATTCAATTGCATGTACAAAAGTGATTTGCCCTGGATTTTCCCATCAAACTCAGTGTTTTCACCTTCCTACACAAAGACAGTACTGGACAGACTGACTTTTTTGATACCTTCCCAGATATTTCAATGGGCAGAGGTATTATAACTCATTAATTTATTTACTATTTACATTCAGAATCATCATTAAGGGCAGGAAAGAAACTACAAGCAGCCCCACCAAGCTTCCTCAGAGATTCCTGGAGATCCCATACTGCCATGTTCTGTGCTATCTCCATTACCATATGCAGACCGGATCATTGTGATTCAGAAAGTTTTCACTGGATGATATTCCTCAGTGATCTTGATAGAAAACTCTGTTGACATCTGCTTAGAACAGAGCAACATGCAAGCTTCCACTGACATGTGGATAGTGGTTGTACATGGGACACACTGGTCAGAATTGAACCTATATGGGAGGCAAGAATTCTACCACTGAAACACCTAAACAATTATACACACAAATCATATCCAAAGAAGTTATTTACATCATATATTTGACTTAATGTAAACTCTCACTGTGTTCTCATTCACTCAGTATTTATTTATTGATAGATTGCCACATATTTTATATTAAAAGCACTACTGAATCCAGTGTTAGATCCACAATGGTGAACAATATAAATACAGCCCGAGAATTCATGGGTGGAGCTTACAATCCAGTAGTCTAGTAGAGGAACTGCTAAGCAATAAATGAGGGCAAGATGATGTTCTGGATGTGGAAGAGGCACCTGTAGCACCTATACCTTGGAGGTGTATGTGGTCCTGGGAGTCCTCCCCAAAAGGAATAAAAGGAAATTAATCAGGCTATGAAGAGAGGAGAGGTGAGGGAAAAGGAACTTGAAAAAAACACATCCTGCGTAAAGGAGATATTTGTAAAACTGAGAGCACAGACTGTGATGGGAGGCATGCATGACTTACAGAAAAACATGGTCAAGAAATTGATAGGATTATACAAAACGGCTTCAGAAAGTTGATGGAAAACTTCCATTATCTTTTAATTCAATTTTTTCCATGAACTATTTGAAGCTCCCTCCTATATCCTGAAAAGTAAGCACTGCCTCAATTTGCTGAAATACTTCAATTTTCATTCCGTTAATTCCTAGAGCTTTGGTTCATTGCCAATGCCTTCAGCGCAGCTTGCACTTCTTGCTTCAGTACTGTCAGTTCTTAATCAAATGCTGCCTCATGAAATGTTTGAACACCAGCCATTTCTTTTAGGTACAGTGACTCTATGTATTCCTTGCATCTTTTCTTTATGCTTTCTACATTTGTCCATAGAATCTGTCAGTACTGCAACCTGAAGCTTGAATTTTTTCTTTAGTTCTTTCAGTATGATAAATGCTGAGAATGTTTTTCCCTTTTAGTTTTCTAACTCCAGGTCTTTTGCACATTTCATTATAATACTTGACTTTGTCTTCTAGATCGTCCCTTTGACATTTTCTGTTCAGCACTTTTGCTTCGTTTCTTCCATTTGCTTTAACCTCTCTACACTCAAGAGTAAGTTTCAGAATCTCTTCTGACACCCATTTTGCTCTTCTCTTTCATTCTTGTCTTTTTAATGATCATTTGCTTTCTTCCTGTATGATGTTCTTGATGTCATCCCCAAACTCTTGTTGTCTTTTGCCATTAGTGTCTAATGCATCAAATCTGTTTTTGAGATGGTCCCTAAATTCAGGTAGATTATATTCAAGGTCATATTTCCCAACTATTGATCCTTTCTCTTTACAACTTTCACTTTCCAATCACTAGTAATTGTCAATGCATCTTGACTGTATGTTTGATCAGTTTCAGACTGAAGAAGTTGGTAAAATTCTTCAATTTCATCATCACTGGCTTTAGTTTTTGGTGCATAAATCTGAATAATATTGGAATTAGCTGGCCTTCCTTGTAGATATATGGATATTATCCTATCATTGACAGTATTGTACTTTAAGATATATTTGAAAAATGTTCTTTTTGATGATGAATGCAACCTACTTTTCTTCAATTTTCATTCTTCGCATAATAAACCATATGATTGTCTGAGTCAAAATTGTCAATACCAGTCAATTTCAGCTCACTAATGCCTAGGATATCCATCTTTATGTGTTTTATTTCACTTTTTCTGACTTTCAACTTTCCTATATTCAAACTGTGTACAGTTCACATTGCAGTTATCAGTGGATGTTTGCAGATGTTTCTCTTCATTTTGAGTTGTGCCCCATCAGCAAATGAAGTTCCCAAAAGCGTTTGCTTCATTCATGTTATTATGATCAACTCTACTTTGAAGAAGGAGCTCCGGTAGCATAGTGGTTACAAGTCAGACTGCTAATTTCAAGGTCAGCAGTTCAAAACTACCAGCCATTCCACAGGAGAAAAATGAGGCCTTCTTCTCTCGTAAAGATTTACAGGCTTGGAAACCCTATTCAGGGTTTCTATGAGTCAGAACCATGTCCACAGCACACCACCATCACCTACTATGAAAAGGTAGCCCTTTCTCAAGGATACTGAGTGCCTTCCAACACTGAATGCTATACTAGGTTGAATAGTGTCCCCTGCCAAATTCAGGGTCACCAAGAACTTCAGAATATGACTTTATTTGGAAATAGGCTCTTTGCATATGTAATTAGTTAATCTACCTTAGGGTAGGTCCTAAATCTAATCATTGGTGTCCTCGTAAGAAGGGCATTTAGATACACATACACACAAACACAAGTTGCTCTGATAGCGCAGTGGTTAGGAGTTGGGCTGCTAATTGCAAGTTGTAGTTCAAAACTACCAGCTGCACTAAGGGAGAAAGATAAGGATTTCTACTCCTGTAAAGATTTACAGCTTCATGAACCTTATACAAGATCACTATGAGTCAGAAATGCCTCCATGGCACACAACCACCACCACCACTACCACACACAAACACATACACACAGGGGAATGCCATGTGAAAATGAAGGCAAAGACTGGTGGTATGTTGCCACAATCCAAGGAATGCCAATGACTGTCTGAGAGGGTGCATGAGCCTGTTGATATCTTGACTTAAGATTTCTAGGCAACAGAATATGAGAGAATAAACTTCTGTTGTTTTAAGCTATCCACTTTGTGGTTTGTTTTGACAGCCCTAGGCAATTAGCACAAGTGCTAAAAGGAAAAACTAATATTTAGCCTAAAGTAATTCTTAGTCATACATGAACATTTGAACAAAGAAACACAACCTTAGAATTTTGCTGTGGGAAAAATTAACATTATGATTTTCAAAATCATACAGAATATTAAATATATACAGATAATTTTGAAATAATAATTATGGCTTTATAATATCAAACATACTCAAATGTATGTATAAAAGATGTGTTGTGATAGCTAAGGTTTTTGTCAACTTGACTGGGTCCATATTTTCAGTGTTTTGGTATTTATGAGTTAGTAATTCCATGGATGAGATCTAATTTCATGTAAACACTCCTGTGATGTGATCAGTCCTGAGCTGATGTAATTATCCTATGCTTTGTAAATCCTCATTTCTATGATATGAATGAGGCCAGAAGCAAAATACAGGATGAGGGCATATCTTGAGTCAATCTCTTTTGAGATTTAAGAGAGATGAACAAGAAGGCTGAACTCTGAGTGACCTACTACAACCAAGAAAATAGAGCCAGGAATGGAATGTGTTCTTTGGACCAGGGGTCTCTGCACTGTGATGCTCCTAGATCTATAGAAATATAGATGCCAAGAAGCATGGAGATGTCCCAGACATGCTAGACCCACAAATGCTGAAAGGAAACATGGACCTTTCCGTCTGAGGACTAAGGTGTGCCTGACCCAAGCCCTGGTAATTTCAATAACCTCATATGCATGTGAAAGTTGGACACTGAATAAGGAAGAATGGACACATTTGAGATACAGTGTTGAAGAATGTTAAATGAACAATGGGAAAATGGAATTAAAATGGAATTTTTCTGCAAACTTTTTTCCTTTTAGCTACCTGTAAAGAGATGTTGGTGCTTATCTGTATATTTCACATTCTCATTTACAAAGGTATTTGTTGTTGTGTTGTGCCGTGGAGTCGGTACAAAGGTATATCACTTGTAAAATAAGCCTGAAATGCTTACAAGAGTCCTGATGGGAATGGTTACCACTGAGGTGCTAACTAAAAGACCAGGAGTTCAAAACCACCAACTGCTCCTTGGGAGAAAGGCCCTGGAGTGAGGAAAATGTATAGGGCAGTTCTTTGATTGTTCTACATGGGCTATTTTGAGTTCGAATCAACTTGACAACACACAACAACAAAATGCTTATTTCCAATATGTCTCTTTATATCCTCTTTCCAAGTTATCTTTTTTCACAGTATTCTATTTCATTCCATGCTATTCCACAATATCATAGCTACCTGAGACATAGATGATATTTTCCCTCTATTTCTGTAAGGGCTGATAGTTACACATAGCATTCCCATAGCAAATGAACAAATTCCATTTTTCATAATTACTTTTTACTTAGAGCCCAGCACAAAAACCCAAAATGCTACTCCATGAAATATACACTACAAGGGATGAGTGTCTACAAATATAGTCTACAAGATGATGCCAAGCAATTTTTTGACTTTTTGAAGGTTTATCATGATCCAAGAATAGAATATATTAATCCGATGGCTTGTAAGAAAAAAAGTAAAACATCAGACATTTTAAAGCATTTAGAGGATTATCCTTTCTGTTTACTTCCCCCATCCCAATATTGTGCATGACAATGTCTGCACAAGAAAGGAGGAAATATGCAAAACCCCCAAGCCACACGAATTTGCTGTGATGTGCATTTCAGGAACATGTGTTTGCAGTAATCAAAA